CACCTCTTCTCAAGGACCCCTGAGTCCAGGCCAAGGCCTGGAGGCCGATCAGGGTGTGTGTGTCCACTGGTTGCTAATGTGGAGAAAGGAGAGCTTGGCAAGAGTGGAGCTGGCGTGAGAAAGGCTCGAGTAACTTGGTGCTTCCTAGACCCTCGCCACTTTCACCTTCAGTGAACTCTTGGGAGAAGCCCCCAGCGTTTTCCAAATTCCACCAGCCTGCCTTTCTGACTTCCTGTTAGTGTCTGTCTCTGGGGCTGCCTCTAGAAGGGCAGACACTACAGGGGTCTTCTTTGCAGGAGCGCTGAGTAGGGAGCCATCCCCTCAGCCTTTGGACGGCCGGACAGACGCCATGTGCCTGAGCACATGAGGTCATGTCTGTGAGCAGAGGACGTGAGCAGGTTTTCTCCGTGAAGGGGTTGCCCACACAAACAGCAGCCACATGGCCACCAGGATCCCAGGCTGACCGTAACTGTCACTCCCTGTTGAATTCTGAGTTGCGGAGCCTGGCTTTGATTGGGGCGAGATGTGATGTGTAAGGAAAGCATTCCAGTGCTGAACGTTGAGGGGCCGGCTTGCCTTTTTCAAAAATCTGACTCACTCTGGTAATATTTTTTTACTGCTTGGTTTTCATTTGGTTTTCAGCTACCTGAGAATCATGGTGGCTGCAGAACGGAGATGTGCTTTGGCTTACATTGTTGAGACAATTTCTCCAAAGCGTTTTTACAAGAAGTTAAAACAGATAATTACTTCCATATTGCAGATAACAAAACTGAGGAATAAGAGGATTTACCTAAAGCCAGAGGTGGCAGGCCTGGATTTCTGACTCCCAGCCCTGACTTTCAAAGGAAAACCTAGAAATCATCAATGATAGACCCCTCAAGCACTTTTCACAAGACAGAAGAAAAAGAACGCTTCTGCTGTTTATAAATTGCAAAATTAGCGGATTTCTAGCTAAGAGAGTCACCGTTCTTCTCAGTTCCCACTGAAAGTGCAGCATAGGGCTTTGCGTGTGCACTTTGGGGTAGCCCCCCTGGGTTCAGTTCCAGTTTTGCCCCTTACTAGCTGTGCCATCCCAGGTAAATTACCTGATTTCTCTGTCTCGGATTCCTCAGCTGTGAAATAGGAATACTAGTTCCACATAGCTCCTAGAGTTGATGTGACTAGGAGATGACAACATACAGATGTGCTTAAGTACAGTACCTGTTGTGTAACGAGCCCTCTGTAAATAGTAGCTGTAGTTAATACTGTAACCAGGGCATGCTGGGGGAGGAGTCAGCCTGCGAGAGGCATGAGTATTTGGGAGAATCCAAGAGGGGAAGACAAGGGAGTGGTTCAGAGGCCACAGTCAGAAGGAGAGGACAGTTGTTAGCGTTGAGGCTTCTCAGGGGGCGGGTTCCTGAGACGATGCTGCACACAGCAGGCTGAGCCATCAGGAAGTGGCAGTTGCTGCTGTTAGTGCTGAGTGACCCCATGACTGATACATGTTAGGCTCTTAGAACAGCGTTCAATAGCTGACAGCTGTTGTTATTTAGCAAGAACCAAGTCCTAACCTTCCCCATAAACTGAGTCCCATCCAACATCCTAGATGTAAATATAATTATGTGCATCGAGAGCAAGCTGAGAGGGAGGGAGAATGGCACAGAGGCAGAGAAAAATATTCTTAGATGAAAAATGGTCATTAGCTGGGTATGTAAAACCATCTGCTGCCAAAAAGCCACTGAAATTGATGAGCATGCCATTATCCAGTCTCTACAAGGAGGAGCCATTTTGAAATGAGTTGATGCAGACAAGGCTTTTAGGAGGTCACTGTCTCCATTCTGAGTTAACTAAATGATGCTTCTAGCCTAAAAAGAACAATCTGAAGCCTAAGAAACAAGTGATGGAATTGTCAGGGAATTGGCAGTAGCATGTCACCTAGAGATCACTGGCATCAAAAGACCCAGCTATTCATGATAAAAATGTAATTTCAAAGTGTTTTCTCTTTTTTAAATCAAGGGAAATAGGACTCAGAAAGCATGGGGGGATCTGGGAAATAGGTCATGCACTTGTCAGACAGGCTGTTGTGGGAGAGAGAGGGCTCTACAGAAACCTTGGAATTAAAATGTGACTACCAGTTAATTTATTCATTCCACAACTATTTTTTGAGGGTCAGATCAGAAAAAGGATACAGTATCCTTGGAAGCCACAGGTGGCCTTATGTTGTGCAGAGTACAACCACCAGATTTGGGATTGGATTCAGCAGACCCAAGGAGTCACGTGGCCCACATGGACACAAAGAGGGGTCTGCTGGGGTGAAGCCTCAGGTGGTGGAGCTCCCAGGGCAGTTCCAGGGTGTTTTTGCTGTGAGCTCTGGGATTCTGATAGCCTAAGAATGGAATATTGTACAAATAAGCAAATTTTCTTGAGGGGTTTGTTATTTCTGAAGGGCAAGGATTGTTGCCCCAGGCACTTAGTGATCTTGTTCGCAGTGCAGAGCAGCTCAGTCCTCGGGCCCCTTGCCTCTGTCCACTGGCCCCCAGCCTCCTTAAGAGCACCCTTTTCTCCTACATTCCGGACTCTTAGGAGCCCTTTCTCAGGGCACGCATTCTGCTCTCATCTCCTGACTTTGGGAGAACCCAGCCCTGTGGTGGCTTCTCGGATGTTGGTTGAGATGCATTCCCACCATGCATCTCTAAGCAAGGATGGGCGAAGGCAGCCAGCCAGCCCAGAACTTCAGATTTGATTTGCTGTCTCTTTATCCGCTCATCCAACCAACTGGTCAAGAATTCTGTCTTGTGCTGGGCATATTCTAGGTCGGATGAATAAAGTTTGTTTGTGGACTTAACATCTACAGAGAAAGATATATGAGAACCTGCAAAGACACAAAATGGGAAAGAGCAGACCAGGTCAGTTCACGTGGCTGGAATGGAGGATGGATAAGGATGCAAGCGGGCCCAGACCCTGGGCTGTGACTCCAAGCAGAATCTGCGTCCTGCCTCATGTAGCAGGGGAGGCAATGAACGTCGTAAGTGGGAAATCAGTAGAATAAGGTGGTCACCCCATGAGGCGTTCTGTGAGGGAATTGAATAAGCTGTTGATGTTGGCCCTGTGGCCTGTTTCAGCGGGGCGGTCAAATAGGAGTGTGGGAGGGGATTCGGGGCGCCAAGCCTGTGTGTCCTGCCTGGAGCCATCCTGCCTTTCTGACCCTACTAGTAAAACAGAAATATAACACTTGCCTTATCTAATGAGGTTGTTTTGAGGAGCCAATGAGATGATGGAAATGAAAGAGCTTTGAAAAATAAAGAAATTTTTTAAAACAATAAGTTTTAGCAGTTTCAGCTGCTAAACAGTTTCACTGTTTCAGCAGTGGGGCCAACAATAGTGTTATTTTTTAATATGGCATCATTTCTCTCATTACCACATCCATTCTCCATGAACTTATTCTTTCAGAGAAAAGGGAAAGGGAGGAAGTGTCAGAGCTGGAACAGCAGGAAATAGAGAAGTACCTGCCTCAGGCCTGTAGAGCAGCAGGGCTTCCCCGGCCCTGAAAGGCCCTGAGAACGGCTGGGCCGTGCAGGAAGCCGCGCAGCCTGGCCTGTGGCTTTGTCTGTGTCAGGGAGCAGACAGATCTGCCCACAAACCACCCTCAGTGCCCCAGAGAGGCCCCGGAGGCACCCTGCAGACCAGGCTCAGGGTTTCCCCAGAGGTGGGACGCCTGCTCCCCACCCTCTGGGTAAATGGGAGTGGTTTCCAGGTGACTCATGTAAACAAAATGCAAAAAATAAAATAGAGGTGATCAGCATTATTTAAGCAAGTGCCAGGCCCGTATTATGTTCTAACTTATCTCACCATTAGAAAAGGAAATAAGAAAAGGCTTGGCTTTATTTCTCTTAGATCAAGAACATTTCAGCCCTTTTCTTCCTCTGTGAGAACAACTGTGCCTGTGGCTTGACTTGGGCAGTAAGTGAAATTATCACCTGGATTCAGGCTGCTCTCGTTGCTGGCGAGGCGGGATAGGGTGACAGCGCTGAGCTGGCTGTAGAGGCAGACAGGTATTTTTATCCCAGCTCTCTGATCTTGGGCACATTGCTTAACCTTTTGATGCCCATTTCCTCTGTCTGAAAAAGGGAGATAATAATGGTACCTGCTTCATGAAGATTAGATAAATAAATCTGTGCCAGGAGCTTAGAACAGTGCCTGGAGAAAATAAGCCCTTAATAAATGTGGCTCATGTTATATTAACAATAACATTATTTGCTGTATATTACCTTATCGCCTCCGTTCATTGGCTGTTCTCTTGTAACACTTACTACCTCCTGTGTTTCCATTGTATAGGGTGTTGCCCCCTAAAGTTTATAATTCACACGAAACCTTATTGCCTTATGCTGAGTCCTCCATGCCTCTCCAAAGCCTTGCTCTCCTGTCCCACCCTCTCCCTGCTTCCCCATCTGTGCCTGGGCAGATAGATCATCAGCCCCCTTTCTCTCCCAGACACTTTGTCCTCAAGGCCTCTCACAAGAGGGAGACAGCCATTAATTCCAGAGGGCCAGGGGAGGCCAGGGACCTCCTAGGAAGGCCTGGGTTTGTGCCCCAGTTCTGGCACTGGCTCCTGACCACCCCTGGACGCCATTTCATCAATTTCATGTGAAAGGTAGTAATACCCACTTTACAGAGGTGGCAGAAATCTGATAGCGTATGGAGAGGATGAAGCGCGTGAGCTGTGGGAACAGGACAGACGGGGTTTCCAGGCCTTGCTGGCCCTGTTAGGGAGAGCGTGTCCCTTCACCTCTGCAAGCACAGGCTTTCTTTGTTCGCTGGAGATACCAGCAGCCCCTACCTCTCAGGATCCTTGGGCAGGTTAAGTCAGGTGTATGAAGCGCGCAGCAAGCATTCAACAAGAAGTACCCGTTCTGTTATTAACACTGAATACTCTGTGCGTGGGACGCCTGGAGCCGCCCTGATGCTGGGCGGACAGCGCCTGCTCGCGGTGGTCAGCATCTCCTTGGCCCTCTTCCCCGCAGGGCTCTATGTGCTGGTTGGAGCAGGGGCCCTGATGATGGCCGTGGGCTTCTTCGGGTGCTGCGGAGCCACGCGGGAGTCGCAGTGTGTGCTCGGATCTGTAAGTGGGGAGTCGGGGGAGGGTACTGTCCTCAAGGGAGCCGGCTGTCCGGCCTCCAGCGCCAGCTCCTCCGCCGGCTGAGACCTTGGCACGCACATCCTCTCCCTGAGTCTCGGTTTCTCCATTTCTTGCATAAGAATAATATTACCTTTGTCCCTGCCTCATAGGGAACGTGAAAAAAGTGAGGTCATTAGTGTGAAGATGTTTTGAGAGGAAGTGCCTAATAATTCTTAGGAGCAATTATGATTGTTCTTTAAAAAATAATATTTCACAGTGAGTGAAGCAGCTAAAAACTTCCTATAGGCAGGGAAGTGCTATTATCTACAAGAACAGCATTGCTGTTTGAGATCCATAACTTAACTAAACACCCTTCTTGTGGTTTATTTTAACGAGCAACCTCTGTTTAAAAAAAAGAGAGAGAAAAGAAATAATTTCAGTTAACTGCTATACATCCAGTACCAGTGTGACCTAAGAGAAAGAAGGAGAAGGAAGAAGAGGGCCAGGAAGACAGAAAGTTTTTCTATTTCTCCATGAGGAGTCAGAAACAGCAATTTTATTAGGCAGCCTCTCGTTCCTTGTTGCAATCCTTGATTGTTTACCTGCGACCGCTTTGTCTGATTGCTTCTTCTGTTACATAAACTTTCTAACTCATTTCCTCAGCCCTCCATTCTTTCTCTCTTTCCCCTGTTGCTGAGCATCTCTCTCTTGTCTATCACTGACCTTAGTTTGATCAGACCAGACCCAAGAGAGTGAGACAGACATCTGTCCAGAAGGCCTCCCCTCACCTCTGCTACCCCCTCCTCAGAGAAGCCCTTCCAGGCCACACGGTCTCAAGTGCCACCTTCTCCAGGCCCAGGCCCCACCAGTCTTTCTCTCCCTCCTGGTCATATTCTCTGTCTGTCTAGAAACTTTTTTGTTTATCACGTTTTCATTAAGCACATAGGAGCCAGGCACTGTTTAGGTGGTGGGATTTCTGTGTCACTATCTGAACTTATCTTACTCACTTTTTGATTGCTTTACTCATTTGTCATATCTTTCCCTTTGTAAGATGAGGGCCATGATAGGAGAGACATTGAGATCTTTTCTTATTCACCACTGTCTACCCAGCGCCTAGGACAGTGCCTGGCACAGAGTAATGATCAATAAACCATTGCTGAATGGATTGATCAGTGGATAAATGAATGAATGAACTACAAGGAGACTGAGGGGCAAGTGCTTCCTACTAGATCAGTTCAAGTTAATTACCTTGCCTGATGTTTTTCAAATGGAACTAGAATCAGGCTAAATAAATTGAAAAGGTATTAAATTAATGAAGTTAATATTTTCTCTCCTCCATAGTTTTTCACCTGCCTACTGGTGATATTTGCTGCTGAAGTAACCACTGGAGTATTCGCTTTTATAGGCAAGGATGTAGTAAGTAAAAATTACTTACAGTTTCTTTCTATGGCGGCTAAAGTATTCTCTTTATGGCAAAGGATATGAGACTATTGATACCCATAATGATATTATAAAACCAAATAACGCCCCCAATTATCATTTACACAGAACTTTGTAACCCAGAAGTATTGTTAAGGAACTGAGCATATGTGTGTTTGAGTGTGCATGCATATACGTGCAGACATTTTTCTGAGGAGATAGTTCATAGCTTTCGTTAGATTTATAAAGGGGTCTATGATAAAAAAAAAAAAAAAATCTCTACTTTAAGATTATCCCATTTGAAATGGGGTAGGGGTTTGACTGTAGACGTGAGAAAGAGGGATGGGAAGAACATGCATTCTCCTCTCTGGTTAGACTATCGTTTGTCCTCAGGGCTGGCCTGGGCAGAGACCACGTCGTCCTCAGAGACTGACGCTGACCTGCTGTGTGCTGCTGAAGCCAGTTTATTTCGATTTGTGCTCAAATTGTAGGTGTCCAGAATAGGTTATCAGGAGAACCCACAGAGGAAGTGGCCTTTTTAGAAGGTTAAAACACACTGAGTGAAAAGGAAAAGCAGGAAGAATGGAATCTTAAGTTTACTGCATTGCACGTAAATTCATGTATGGTCAATATTGTGTTTAAGAATTTATTATAGATTAAAAAAGTGATAAACATGTAGAAGAAGTAAAGATCACCTCCTTTGGAATTTTTCCAAAGTAGCTGGTTGTATTTGTAGGTCAGAGGGATTAGATCTTATGTCTTTTGAGATCTCTATGAATTTGGGGTCACACACCTTTATACTAGAAAAAGCATTCCCTAAGTCTTATATGCTATTTGAATGCTGAAGCAGTTTTCCTTGGCCATGCACGCCTTTTAAACCATGTCATGATGAGACTTGAGTACTTTTCACCAGTGGGGAACCAAGAATGCACAGATCCCTACCCTGGCTGTGCATCAGAATCCCCTGGGTGGGGCCCAGGAATCTGGGGTCCCCTTGGTGCTGGTGTCCGTTCATATTTGAGAAACTCCACCCTAAGAAATCTTTCTAGTCTCTGAAAATTGTTCTTGGTTAGTCTATCCTTCCATCTTCAAATGTGTCTTAGAAACTCCAGAATCTGTCATCTGTTCCATATGCAGAATTATCTTAAAATACAGATAACGTATGGAAGGATGTATTCTTGAAGGTAGGGAAGAAGGGGTTTTCTTGATGAAAGGAGAGCATTGGAAACCTCCCCACTCACTGGCCTCGTGGTCTTCCTGCTATTGTTTCAGGCTATACGACACGTCCAGACCATGTATGAGGAGGCGTATAACGGTTACCTTAGAGACAGGGAGAAGGGGAACGGGACTCTCGTCACCTTCCACTCAACAGTGAGTAACCTTACTTCTTCCTTAACATCGCATCTTCTGAAGATTATGCGTGAGCCAGGTTCTCTCTAGTTATCTGGACTAAAAAATAGGAATAAATTCAGCAAAGCCAAGCAGCAGCACTGTATTTCAACCATCGGAGCCATGGTTTGCATTAGGTGTAGAAGCCAGAAGAGAAAGAGGCCTCACACAGAGTTTGCAAGAGGAAGTCAGGATATGTGCCCCAAAGAGACAAAAGAGCACACACAAGAACACTGAGAAAGCTGCCCAAATAAATATCAGGCTTCTCAAATGGCGGCACTGTGGTGGAACAGAAACAACCATGACCTTTCAGCCAGAAAAGCTCCTTTCTAGCTGCAGCTCTGCCGCTGAACAGCTTTGTGACCCTGAGCAAGTTCCTTGCCTCCCTGATACTCAGCTCCCTCATTTGTAAAATGAAGGGGCGCATGAGACGGACACCCCCTTTCTCCTGGCACGTCCTGTGCGAATGTGCTGTCAGTGCAGTGCTCAGAGCTACCCACAGTTACTCAAGGAAGGCTAGGAGGAGAGGGACCGGGCAAGATCGTCCTGTTTCTACGCCATCGTGATGTGCAGAAGTAGCTGCAGACTCCTGGGCCAGTGTTTTCAGGTAGCCAGTTCTTGTCTGTCACAGGAGTGTCCTGGAAGGTGCCCCGAGGACATTGAGCAGCACACAGGTTGCTTTGTCTTTGAAGGGCTAGCCCCAGGGCAGGACACCTGGGTGCTGGCCAGCCTTCAAGCCCTGGTCTTTTAGCCCCTGGGGTTTGCTGTGGCCACTTCTCTCCGTCCCAGACTGTCCCCAGTTAATGAGCCCTTCCTGAAGCTCAGAAAACTTTAGCTAGTGGGCCCGTTAAATTACTCTCAGGCTGCAAGAGTCTAAAGGGCCAACTCCTGTCTAAAAAACAGCAATTTATACAGACACTGTCAATTAGCATCTTGCATTGTTTGGGTTGCCTTGAGTCACTTCCTATCATAAAACAGACAACTGTAGAGAAGTCATTATCTTGTTTTGCTGGCATGATTATGTGACTCTTCACTCTCTTTCCAGAATGGTGGTTTGAGTTGCAGTGACGGGGCCTCGTAGCTGCTTGGTGTGTCTGCACCCCCAGTCCTTAGCAGTGGTGCTCAGACTTGTAGCTGCTGCTTCTCCCTCCTGTGTCCTAAAAGCTTTTTTCTGACTCTCTAGTTTCAGTGCTGTGGAAAAGAAAGCTCTGAACAAGTCCAGCCCACATGCCCAAAGGAGCTTCTAGGGCACAAGGTAGGTTTCTCTACCAGGGTTCCTCTCCTGCCTCTAGTAGAAGATGGTTCTTGCCCTCGGGGTGGTATGATTCTAGGAGGCCTTCTCGCAGTGGCTTCTGTGCCTCAGCTTTATTCTTTGGAAAATAAGCAAAGCGATGCTGAGTCCCAGTCTCCTGCTACCCTGGGGGATGATGCTGTGCTGGGTAGTGATGCAAATGCTATGGCACTAATTAAACTCACCAGGACCAGAGGTGTGCAAAACAACCCCCCAGACTGTTGCCCCACATCTGTCCATGGGAGTCACGGCACTGATAAATGCTTCATTTATTAAGTGCAGTGTGTCGGGCACTATGCCAGCTTCTGAAAACTCTAAGGACAAATACACACGATCCCTGCTTCAGTGGCCTCACACACCAGTCAGGGGAGACGGTTCTGTACCTGGTCTGTCTAGGAACACTGGAGACACCGTGGAGTTAGGAAAGCTTCACGGAGGATGGAATCCTTGAGCTGAGTTTTGACAAAGGAAGGTCATTCCAGGCCCAGAAAGCAGCTGGAACAGAGGCATGGCCGTATGAAACTCCAGGACTGCAGGAGAACAGGGCGTCAGAGGGATGGTGAGAGACGTTTTTGGAGAGGCAGGCAAAGGCATGATTTCACACCTGGAAGCTTGGAGAAGCCCTTGCTTTTAGCAGAGGCTTAACAGAATGAGTCTTGCATTGTAGAAAGAGTACTCAGGCGGCTGGTTGTGACAGGTGGACTAGAAGGCTGAGACTAATGGTGGGAGGCCGCTTAGGTGACACTTGTGGCCACCCTGGTAAGAAAGGATGAGGGGCTACAGCAAGTCATAAACGGTGAGGAGTGGGAGGAAGTGATGATTCAGAGGTGATTGCGGGTGGAAGCAGCGGGCCCAGGCGACTTACTGGGTGTGGAGTGGGGAGTGAAAGAGAGGACGCTAAGACTTCACGCTTCTGCTTAAGCAGAGTGGGTGGGTAGGGGCTGCACTCACCAAGAGAGGTCAGTATAGGGAAAGGAGCAGATCTGGGGGCAGATGAAAGCTTCAGTTCGGGTCAGCTCTGCACTTTTGGAGCCTGTGGGACTGACAGGAAATCTGAGTTGAGGACACAGGTGTAGGAATCCCAGCATACTAGTTGTAGCTGAAGCTATCGGAGTGGATGGAAGACCCAGAGCAAATGTGTAGAATAAGGAAAGAGGTGGGCTGGACACACTGTCATGTAAGGGGTAAACTGGGGACAAGAAGCCAGAGCGAAACTGTGAAGGAGGAGGCAAGTCAGGGAGAGTCTGAAGACAGCCGCACCTGGGAGGCAAGGGAGGGGATGGTTTGTCCATAAAGTCAATGCTGGGAAGAGAACAAGGAAATGAAGGCTGGAAGTAATTTGTTGGATTTGGTGCTTAGAAGATCTTTAGTGACGTTTCCACGCAGTTTGAGTGAAGCAGTTGGGGAAAGCATAAGTACGATGTGGGAAAGGAGGGGGGGCGTGTGAGAATGTGGGGGCAGTGACAGTGAGACTTCTAGGCATTCATCTGTGAAGGAATGGATGAAATTTTACTTCCAGCCCCGGTCATGAATCACCCAGTGAATGCTTATTGAGTCCTTCTGAGTTGGATGAAATGACTAAGACACAGCCAGTGCCCTCAAAGTACTCACCATCTGGCTAGGGAGACATGCAAGAGAGCCATTACACCACATGGTAGCACATGAGTAGAGGCTGCACTAGAGGGAGCGTGGCAGACTCAGCCAGAGGCATAGGATTTGAGGGCTCATGGGAGGCTCCCCTGACGTAATTCTTAGGATGAATTTTGAAGGATTCACAGGAGTTCAGTGAGCAAATGAGAGAGGAATGAGTATTCCAGGTAGAGGGGAAAGGGCAAAGGTGTGGAGGCAAGAAAATGTGGTTGTATCCAGGGAAGTGCCAGCAGCGGGGAGCAGCTGAAAGCCCCCACAAGTCAGAGATGAGTCCTTTGAAGAGGAGGGACCTGTTCGTGAAGGGTCTTGAATACACTTGCAAAGCCAAAAGTCTAGGCTTCGCACTCTATGCTTAGGAAACCATTGAAGGTGGAGTCTGAGGTGGGATCTGCGTTTCACTGAGCCCGCTGCAGTGCAGTGGGGAGGATTCACGGTAGACGAGTAACCTGGAGCCAAGGAGACCAGTTGGGAAGGCTACTGTTCTCATTGTCAGCCAGGAGATGTTAACTGGTGACAAGGTGGGCCAGGTGGCAGGAATACAGAGGAGAAGCCCACTCAGAAAGCATAATCTTCAGGACCCGGTGACCAGTTAGATCTGAGAGAAGAGGTAGGGTCTACTGGGTTTCTGGCTTCACTATCTGGATAGATGATGGTATCATTTATCAAGCTGAGGAATAGAGAAGAAGAAGCAAATTTTGGAGAAAAGAAAGTGAGTTAAATGTTTAACATGGTGATTTTGAGGAGCCAGTGAAACTTCCAAGGGGGACGTCTAGCAGGCAGTTAGAAAATCTGGTTTGTGGCTCAGGAAAGAGGTTTGGGCATCGGTACTTTATGGGAATCTTACAGCTGTAGATATGATTTGATCCATTAGGTTTGGAAGAAAAGAAGGTCTAGGACAGAACTCTGGGTAACAAAAACATTTAAGGATGGGCGGAGGAAGAGTTGCTAAATAAAAAAACTAGGAGAAGTAGCCAGACACACATGCAGGGAACCATGGGGGAGGAGGGAATGGCCACCAGGGCCACGTGCTGCCAGTGAGGTCAGTTCGACATTTATCCACTGCCTACCCTACACCAGGCACTGCAGATACAAAGATGCGTCGCAAGAAGGCCCTACTCTCAAGGAACTTGCAGTCTGATGGGAGAGGTGAACCCAGAAATGGATAAAGCGCAGCAGTGGAGGTTTGCACAGTGTGCCAGGTGCTATGAAAGCGCAGAGGGGCGCTGAGGTGAGGCCAGAGGCTGGAGAGATCGGGAAGGCTGACTGGAGTAGTGATGAATCAGCTAAATCTTCAAGCATGAGAAGTAACCCCGCCAGCAGTGGGAGGGAGAGGTAGAGGAGTCTTGCCTGCAGAGGGAACAGCGTAAGCAATGGCTCAGAAGCAGAAAACGTGATGGTTTGTTTCTTGGAAGAAGGTCCACAAAAATAAGTACTGAAAAGCTAACAGGACTGAGCTTTTAAAAAAGTGCCCGCTGACTTGGCACCAGGGACAGAGTGAGGACAGAGCGCGTGCTGCGTGAAACGAGACGTCAGGAGGGAAGGTGCCCTTTCAAGGAGTTAGGCTTTAGGAGAAGGAGTGGAAAAGAGAGTTCAGAAAAGACAAAATCCAAATTATTGTTAAACACATAAAAAGTGTAGGCAATTAATGGTAGTGTTAGAAAATAATAGCAAGTTAAAATCAAGAGATGCCATTGTTTCACCTATGAAACTGGCCAAGGTTTTTTTTCTTAATAATAATATGCAGTGTTGGCAAAAATGATGTGAAATGAGCATTTTCAGAGAAATTGGTACAAAATTTTTATAGGTGAGTATAACTACGCAAGAGTAGTGGGTTAAGTATGTTCATGCCCTTTGATCCAGAAAGTCCACTTCTCAAATTTATTTTATTTATTTATTTTTTTTTTTGAGGAAGATTAGCTCTGAGCTAACTGCCGCCAATCCTCCTCTTTTTGCTGAGGAAGACTAGCCCTGAGCTAACATCCGTGCCCATCTTCCTCTACTTTATATGTGGGATGCCTGTCACAGCATGGCTTGTCAAGTGGTGCCATGTCTGCACCCGGGATCCAAACCGGCGAACCCCGGGCCGCCGAAGCAAAACGTGCACACTTAACCGCTGCACCACAGGGCTGGCCCTTCAAATTTATTTTAAAGAAAAGAAATCAGAGATGTGGACAGAGATATTTGTGCAATGGTATTCATTACAGTGTTATTCGTAAGAACAAAATACTGGATAGGCCATTAATATGTAACAATAGAGGATTATCTAAATAAATTATGTCCTATCTTATGATGAAATGTTTTACAGCCATTGAGTCACAATTTCAAAGAATTTTTATTGAAAGGGGATATTTTTGAAGTTGTAATGTTAAGTTAAAAGAGCACACAGTTGTATATAAATAATGAACTGAGTGTGTGAGTGTGTTTGTGTTTAAGAATGCACCAACGATGTTAGTAATTATCTTTACTGGTAGGCATACAAATCTTTCTTATTTTCTTCTTTTTAACATCAGTTTTTCAAATTTCAACAATAAGCACATATTCCTTTTACAACTAAGTAAACCAACACATGTTTTGTTAGTTTGTTTTTCACGAAAAGAATTTGGCTGTGAAAAAAAGGACGGGATGTGGGCAGAGCTAGAGGAGGACAGAATTTGAGGGGAAATTTTTTGTTCTAGACTGAAGATCGTGAGCATGGTGTTATACAATGAGTGGAAATGTCAATAGAGGAGGAGAGGCTGAATGTGTAGGAAGGAAAGAAGGTAACTGACAGCACAGCCTCCTGAGGAGATGCGAAGGAGTGAGACTCAGAGCCAGTGAAGGGGTTAACGTTCAACAGAGAAGGGCACTTCTTTGGCTTTGATGAGAGAGAAAGAAGTAAGGGGCGGTGCCGCCTTGTTCGCTGTGCCTGCCCACACCATACAGCAGTGCCTGGCACGGAATGAATGGAGCATGTAAGTTTATAGGTGAAGGAGAGGAAAGTTAGAAGAATTTCTATAAGTCGACTTTCATTTTCTCCAGTGAGTAAGGGAGCCACTATCTAGAGCAGGGGATCTCAAACTTTTACCAGAATGTACTGTAATTATGTCTTGTGGGTCTGTGTCCTTTTCTAAACCAGGAGCCCCTGAGGGCACAGGAAACCACGTCTATTATCTCCATATCCACTATGCCATTCCAGTGGCTGATGCCAGGCAGATACTCAAGAAATGTTTGTTGAAAGCATGGAGTACAATAGGAGACAGGAGACTAGGGTTTCATATAGCTTCTGCAGGCATCAGAGGGAGCTGACCAGTGGTAAGCCAGACAGCCTAGGGACAAAACTGGGTTGAGAGCATACCTCTGTCTTAAGAGGACTCCAAATAGAAGCTAGAGAAACTAAAGCAAGTGATCTCTTCTGCTCCCTGCCCAATTTTCCCCCCTGTATGAAGGTTCTTTGAATCTGCCTTGCACAGGTCTCTCTGAGGCACAGATGGAAGGATAGGGATCCCCTCAGCCGAGCCACAAAGAAACTTGGCTTTTCTTTGTTTCATTTGAAGCCGTACAGGCTTTTTAGAGTTTTACTGCTTAAGCCCTAGCTTGCATAGTAAATTGGATCAAATATGTGGAAAGTCTTTTAAACTATAAATGACAATACAAAAGCAAGGGGCTGTTATTTGGGGGATATTTTACTTATTTTTATTTGCTGAAAGTAAGAGGAGGCCCTCAATTTTTAAATGCATCAGGTCCCAGAATAGCTTTCTCCAGCCAGGTTTCAGGGCTCTGAAGCAGCCATTGGCCTAAATAAGAAAATTCCACCGAAAGGAAAGGCTTGTATTTTTTCCCAAAACTGCATTTTTGCTTTAAAGTTGTCAAAGTGATACTATCTAAGGGAATGGTTTAGATGTGAGCAGAAGCTGACATGGATTAACTCTCACAAGATGATCTGTAGAGAAGGGTCGGGGCAGTGATTCATACATACTATCAGTTGTTATTCCTGACTTTTTTTTCCCCCAAAACAGAATTGCATTAATGAAATTGAGACCACAATCAGTGTTAAGCTCCAGCTCATCGGAATTGTCGGTATTGGAATTGCAGGTTTCACGGTGAGAAATTTACCTTTTTTACCAGAATTTACCTTTTTTGCCCTCTAAGAAGCCTTGAATGTCTGCATCTTATTTCTCTTCAAGTGTGATATGGCAGTGTCTTAGGAGAAATTTCTCATGAAAGAGTAAGACATTTGTTGACGGGACATCTTCTAAGAACAAAGCTAATTAGATACATCAGTACTTAGTTCTCTAAAATATGATACAAGCTTCAACTTTAACCTAATTATGACCTTCAGTTTATCATTGCAATAACTTCCCATTTTGAGGCCACCAAGTTTAAACTGGACAAGTGATTGTCAATTCTAGGTCTCTTCCTACTGTTAGAGACTTGAAGTGACATATCAGGCGAATCTCTCTCACCTGTGATTTGCATAGGCAGCATAGGGTAGTGATTATAGTGCAAGCTCTGGCCTCGCACTGTCTGGATTCAAGTCCTAGCTCCACTGCTTACAAGCCCTGGGATCATGCGAAAGTGTCTTAATTTCTCTATGCCTCAATTCCCTCATCTATAAAATGAGGATTTTAATGTACCAACCTCATAAGATTGTTGTGAAGATTAAATGGAGTAATACATATAAAATATTATTAGGAATTAATTCTTATAAAGTGTCTGGAACATAGCACTCAATAAGTGCTAGCGGTCTATGTAGTCTGTGTTCCCAAACCCAGAATCCAGGCAAACGGAATAGCGTGTGTGAAAGTGTGAAGCGTAGTGCATCCAGGCACCTGCAGGTGGCTCGGTACTCCTCAAGTACAAAAGAAGAGGGGGCAAGAATTGATAGGGGCAGAGGGTACGGTAGGAGTAGCAAGAGATGACGCTGGATCAGGGGTGAGGGTCCACGTATTTGAGGTCTTTGTGTGTCTTTTTGAGAGTCTGGGCTTCATTCTTAAGATAGGGGGAGACATTGAGGGTTAGAAGGACCTGTGGTGCAGTGTGGAGATAAAGGTGGAAGGAAGCAAGATTGGAGTCAGATAGGCCAGTAAAAAGGTGATTTCCATTGTCCAGGAGTTAAGTGATAATAGCTAATGCTAATATAGTACCTACCCTCTAGCCCTCTATATAGATTAATTCATGGCCTAAGGTAAGGCAGGCACAATGGGAATTGAGAGGAAATCAGTGAATTGTCAGCTCCCAGGGGACACACAAGCATCTTTCCTCTTTTCTGTATGTAGAGCACAGAGAGGTGGGGCAGCGGGTGAAAATACTATGCTGAGGATCTTTCAAGCCAGAGACATCTCTGAGGCCCTCCCCACCTGCTCTGGGGCTATCCCAATTGCCATTCTGAGGCAGAAGATTTGAAAATTGCCTGCCTAACAGAGGTATCACTAGACCCTCTTAATTCTATGATCTCAATGGATGAGCGTCCTAGAAGTGGTCACCCCTGCCTGACTCATGACAGTGGCAGAATGAGGCTGAAAAACTTTCTTTCTAATGGGATCCCTTGAGAGTACAACCAGGATGAAGTAGGGGTTGCATCCAACCTTACAACCACGGTCAAGGGGGATGCCCTCTGTTGGCCATCTTGAATCAGCACCTCGAGAGTTTCTTCTTTAAGTCTTTTCTTCTTAAGGTAAGAGTTGCACAGTGTAATCAGTTAACCAAATGTCCATTAGGTGTCTCCCCTGCCACACACGGACACCTAGTTCTGTCATCTAGAAGCTTGGAGTCCTGCTCGTGCCTATTTCCCTTGCTTAAGTCTGCCCCTTCCCTCCGAAATAACCGATCATTCCTACTTTTCTTAGTTTAGCATTTACAGATCCTAGTCTGATGTAGGATGGGAGTGAGGAGAGAACCAGGGTTATGATACTGATTTCTGTAAACAGACATTGACAATAGTTTGTAAACATTGCACCCACAGATAGCATTCCACAGGCTCTGCAGAATTGTAGGGGAAATGATTGAGGACAAGAAGGATCTTTTGGCATCCTTCTACTCAAACCATATAAGTGGCTATTGATTTTGCCAAGTATTTGGCTTCTCAAAGAAGTATCCAAGAGGCAGAAGATGTCAGAAATACCATAGCTCAAACGCCTCAGTTTATGCTTTGGTAAAACTATTGAGTTAAATAGTAAGCATCATTTGCACTTAAAAATGGACTGGGATTGAAGAAATGTTCCACTTTTTAATATGTAGTCACTGATGCAAAAATTCAAAGCTTTTCCAGCAATAGAAAATTATTTAGACCACAAGCATATTTAAACAACTAGTGGTTATAAATGTATTTTTCAAAGTAAATATATAGAAGAGACCTAGAATTAACCTGAAATATAAAATTCCAAAACCAGTAATGTATTAGTCTTTTAAAAATTTTAAGAACTATTCTCTAACCTAGAAATAGAGCCCTTTTCTTAAAGCAGAGCTGCATTACTTTTTAACAAAAATAAAATAGGAATGCACTTTAAGCAGAGTTAATATGGAAGTCTTTAACCATGAGCCTATAATTAAGTAGCAGATATGCCATTTATAACCAGTAATTATTGGTTATAATTATTCATTAACTTGAGACAAATGAGTTATTTGTCTAATGTGAGTTAGATAAATACCCAAGCAGTTTGCTGACCTTTTTATCAGTTGTTAGCATTTGAACATCATTAACAGGTGGCTCCTTGTGTTTCAGATCCTGGGCATGATCTTCAGCATGGTCCTTTGCTGTGCGATACGAAACTCACGAGATGTGATATGAAGCTACTTCTCCATGAAAATTACAATCTAGAGTTTTCATTACAAATGTCACAGGAGCTGCCTCCTGGCTCATTTTTAATATTCAGAGGACGTAGGATCTAAAATAATTTGCTGTCGGTTGTACATTTGCACATGTGTGTATGTCTGGCTCATTACTGGTTTACCCCTTGAGTGAATGCCCGTGTATGTTGACTAGGAGCCTAATCAAGTGTGATCTGCGTGTTCCTGGTATATGCATTATATATAATGAAGTCTGCTTGCTGGGAATTCCTGATTCTTGTAATGTGAGAGAACAACCTATTGAACTCTGAGAAAAACATCAAAAAGCTTTGATAAACTTTAAAAACTTGGCTATTCAGAAAAAGTGATAACAGGTCGTTTTCTCAGACTCTAGCCATGGCAATTTAGATACAGAGAATTTGGGGATTTCTAGTTAACAGAAGCAATAAGCTACAGGAAGTGAGAGATCGTGGTGCGGTGTTAAAATTGACTGTGTCTGAGTTGGGTGAAAGGGTTTCCTGGGATTTTTTTATATACATACTCTCCCCAGAATACAATAAATGACAGTTTTAGAACTAAACACATCTCTAAAACTAAATATAGCATGGAAAATCTAATTTGAATGTCATACTTTCCTACTATTTAAAAACAAGAAACCTCCCTCTGGAAACAGTGGCCACACAGACAATCATGTGCCCTATAAAAGCGAGTGTTTTTAGGATTTAAAAAAGTATTTTAACAGTTTTTAAAGAAATATTTTTGTTCTTATATAAAGACATTTAAATATTGCTTTATTACTTTCCTTTTCTGACTTTCCTCTGAACTACTGCAACCTCCACGTCCACAAAAGGGCTTTTATCTCAGACTTGGCTGTGTTTCTCCAAATGTAAGGATAAAAAGACTAAAGCAAGAGCTCTGGCAGTTGCAAATTGTGGGAAAGAGAATTTTCACTGGCACTGTATCTTTGAAATACCTCATAACTTGAGTTTACGTATTTTCCTAATTTTTTGTATTTTTCTTATTTATTGACCTAGAGAATTCTTCTTCATAGATTAAGAACTACAGTTTTCACCACTTAAAATAAATAAAACAAAATTCTTCATAATTCAAATATTCTATCATGAGCATCCTTGGCCAAACCAAAATAAACGAATAAAACAACCTTCTCCTTCTTGCGTGCACACAACAGAGATAAGCTACAGAAACAAAAATACGTAGACACACACAACAGAAGTATGTTCTTCCTGTGAAGTCCCCTATAAAAATAAAGTTTTCATGTTCTTTTATGGTCTTGATGCTTCATTGTAGGTATGTAAACTCAAATTTAGGATCTAAATTGACATATTTGTCAATTTTTAACATTTGGTACTTTTAGTAAATCATGGCGGATTTTTTTATTACATCTTAAAAAGCCAAAAAAAATGTGAAAGTACAAAGGACTTTGGAGACCCCCAAGTGAGTTTGTACACATATGAGAATAAAAGTCTTTGGGTATGCACTAAAGGGAATTGTGTGCTCCCAAGAAACTTTTACAAAACATTTTGCTGAAAAGACTTAACCATGTGAAATAGCCTCCCTCCCATAGAGAACCACATTTTTCCTTCTGCCATGCTTGCTACTGCTACTAACTTTGGAGGAAGCTTTTCCAGACAAAAAGTCAGATTGGAAGCAATCTAAACATTTAATTGTGCATGGCTACTTTCCTGTGTTCTGTAGCTAGTGAAAAGGTTATTCCAAGACAATCACTTCATGAAATAGATGCATGTACCTGGTAATTGAAAAATATAACTGCAACAAACAAACTGTCCATCTCTCTTGGCGGCTTTAGTGTATCTGTCTGCCTGAAGACAGGAAACAGGCCCAAGTGCATACTCAGGTTTCTTCCAGCTCGGAATCATCTCTAATTCAACAAGAGTGAGTTTCATTTTATACCTGAATTAACAACTTTAAAGAAGACTATGATAGTTAGAAGTGGAAAAATAGAGATCTGTTCCATATATGATTAAAGTACCCCTTTGGGGAGTAATTTTTCCAAGATATGTGCAATGAGTAAAATTGGAGAATTTCACCCCAGCGTGAGAGTAGATTTATATATATCTTGAATCTATATGTATATTAAATCCATATATATCTTGAATCTATATACATATGTAACTTGAATATATGTATACATATAGGTATGTGTGTGTATATATATAGGTATGTGTGTGTATATATATATATATATACACACACATACCTATATATAAATTTTTGGTTATTTCTGTTTACCTGAACTAATCTGAGATCTGACCAAAACATTTTCTTAAGCATCTGGTGCCAAGGCGCTGAATTAAAACTTCTTGATGAAATATTTTATTTCAAATTAAATTTTCTATGTACTGGAATTGTTTGTTTGATTTATCTTAAAATCCTATTATATCTTTATACACACCTTCTCTCAACTTATCTATGTCCGACCACCAGTCAACCCAAACAATATGGTGAAAAAAAGGCAAGAGCAATAACCCTCTGATAATGTTACTATTGAGAACTGGACTTAAAAGCAACACCTTAAGGACTTTCATTATATAGAGTTATATTTCAGTTAATTTTGTTTCACCCAAATTATACCTCTCTTCCCCAGAATAGCTCATTTGTTATCCATGGTACAATTTGTAAAATTGCACACTGACACAGGGTCCAGCGTAGTCCCCCATGCAGTCATCAACAATGGTTGCTCTCCTTTCCCCTGTGAGCAGCACTAATAGTTTTGGCTTGGTGAGAATGAGGCTCGTGGGAAGATAGTAGTGAAGGAGATAGCATATTTTCCACTCTGAAGTAAGTTTATCAAATATTAAAAGGAAGAGGCACCCTCCATGTCATGGGTAAAATGTGGTTTCCATGGCCCCGAGGGCAGCCATTGGGAATTCAGAAGGTACACCTCAACTTTCCTGATTCACTGTTCCCTTGCCCTCCCCATTGACCACCATCCCCTCAATTTCAGCAACCACTTTCCTCACCCCTAGGAGGGAGCACTCATGGGCCCTTGAAGCTAGCCAATTAACTACATTGTCTTAGTTTGGGCTCATCAAAATCAAATTTGTGTTAAGGTGTATTTTAAGAAGGACAAAAAGTTCCTACTTGTTTTCAATATAACTCTATTTTTTCCTATAAAATGTACCTGTAAGGTATTGTATATAGGTATCCTTTGAAAGATAAAAAGACTACACCGATGGAAAATGTTGTTATTAATCATTTTGGTGGTATCCTCATTATAACAACGAAGGCTAAATAGATTTTTGGAACCCACTGTTTGGATGACTATTTCCTGGGGGCATGGAAAACATGAAGAATAGAAGTGCTATGTCTGGAATGTTGCAAAGCAAAATCTACACCGATTTCTTAAAAGTTTTTAGCGAATGTGCCAGAAACCTCTGCAAAGTTTTAGTATTTGTGTTTTTTCTGTATAATTTATAATGGTTTTCCTTAAATAGAAGAAATTTAAATTAAAAGAAATAACCAACCAAGTGCTTAGCACGCCTAGCAACTAATGAATAATACCCATGGTTATAATTATGTTTATAAAGAGTTTTTTTTTAATTATAAATCAAACACGCATAATCATACATAACTGAAATACTTCTGCATGATACCAAACACCTGTTGGAACACATTCACTTGTTGAATTAATGAATAGCTTTTGATATATTTCCCAATTCTTTTTTAATTCAAAGACTTGATATCAATAGCCATAGCCAGAGTCCCTATATTTTCCTCTGGGTCTGCTCTGCCTTCTAAGATGTAACCCATTCTAACATTAGAACTGTTTTTTACTTAGTTTTGGAGCTACTATTTTGTCCATTTGAAAAAACTATAAGAATAATGATATGCTAAGATGAACAAGTCTCTGCCCTCAACGAGCTTAGAGTAGAGAAAAGCAGGCAGGTGTAATTACCATGAGATGAGTGTTGTGATAGTCATTAACCTGGAGCGGACCCACTCAACCTTGGGGAGGATGGTCAGGGGAGAGAGGTTTCCTGAATTTTGTATCTAAACTGAATCCTGGAGAACCTGTACAAATTAGCTAGGTAAAAAGTAATAGGGGTAGAGAAGAAAAGAGGATTACCAGGGAACAATATGCAAGAAGACCCTGAAACAGAGGAAGCGTGGAAACATTCAAAGAAAGCATGTCAAGAACTGAGGAGATAGAAGGCCTTGTTACACTGTACTGAGTAGTCTTATCTTTGTGCAGAGGTCACTGGGAAAATTATAAACAGTGAGTTACAAAATCAAATTTGAACATTTTAAAGATCACTTAGCTTCAGTCTGAACAATGATTGGAGGACAAAGGCCAGGGTCATGAGGATTTCTAAATAATGTACTGGAAATCCTACCAAGAAGTAGACAGATGTAAGAGAAATTGAGGGAAAGAGGAACCCAGAATCATTCTCAGGTTTCTTGGCAGCTGGAAGATAGGGGCGCACAGGAGGAAAAGCAGATTGTAGTGACGAGGCAAGTTAGAGATGACTACAAAACATTCAAGAGGAAATATAAACAGGCACTGGCTACATGGCCCTACAGCTCAGGAAAGAAATCTGGACTAGAACTACAGCTCCTCAATCTGCGACATAAACGTAGTAGTGCCCAGATTCGAACAGTATGAGCCACCTCACATGTTAAGACCTCAGTGAGAAATCAAAGTTCAAAAAATTAGAATCCTCTACTCTAGTAAGTTAAAAGCCCAAAACAATTCTTTACTCCCCATCCATTTCTTAATCTCAGACAGGAGGGCCTCTCTTGGCGGCTTGCATTCCTTCAACAGCTGCCATCTAAACTCTCTTTTACTGAAATGGGTGTAATTCGTTAGGACATCCAAGGTTGAATTAATACAAACCCAAGTTTCTCATATGATCTACATTTAACAGTGTCTAAAGGGTCAATAGGATACACAAGATTATCACAGCACTAGCCCTGCTTTCACAAGGTTTACAATCTTCACTCCCACAGCACCAAGCATTCCCAGAAGCAAGTACAGTCCTGAACTACATTACTGTTGCCTACGAAAGACCATAGCATAGATTTTGAGTCATCTTAGAGGAGAAGGATAAAAAGAAAAGGCATGAAAGGAGACCATATTGACTTCAGTCTCATTAGGACTGATTATAAATGCCGTGGATGTATTATGTTGTGAATCTAGATATGTGACCTCCATGGGGCCCTCTAGGGAAGCAGAGTGGTCAAGAAAGATCAGGACTAAAAAGTGTCCTGTATATTGGACCATTAGCAAGTCATTGTTAACCTTACTGAAAACAGTTTCAAGGGAAGATAGAAATGAAAGTCGAATCATAGTGGGTTGAGAAGAGAATGAGAAGTGAGGAAGTAAATAGTGTAGGGGGCTTGCTGTGGTCTGAATATTTGTGTGCCCCTAAAATTAATGCATTGAAATCCTAATGTCCAATGTGATGGCATTAGGAGGAAGGGCCTTTGGGACACGCCTAGGTCATGAGGGTGGAGCCCTCATAAATTGGACTAGCGTTTTTATAAAAGAGAGCCCACCACAGAGATCCCTTGTCCTTTTCACCAAGCAAGGACACAACAAGAAGTAGCTGGCCGTGAACCAGGAAAGGGGCTCTCACCAGAATACAACCATGCTGGCACCATGATCTTGAACTTCCCAGCGTTCAGAGCTGTGAGAAACAGATTTCTGTTGTTTATAAGCTACCCAGTCTGTGGTATTTCGCTATAGCAGCCTGAAGAGACTAAGATAGGGCTCTTTCACAAAGAACCTGGAATAAGAATTCAAGGAGAGAGGGGCAAATAAATAGAAGGTTGCACGGGGTCAAGAGAGGTTGTTTGCTTGTTGTTGCTTTTACATTTTTTTTTAAGATGAGGAGAGATTGAAGGATGCTTCATACTGAGGAGAAAGAGTCAATAAAGAGGAAGAAAGAGAAGACACAAGAGGGAACAGCAAGGTTCTGGAGGAATTGGGGAATGGGATCAGGAGCATCTTTTGAAACTAGTAGGAATTATGTTAAATCAGTCAGTACTTTTCAGTTCCAAGTGTCAGAAACCTAACTCTAACTAGTTTAAGCAGAAAAGGAAAGTTATGATTTCTTTAAGGGTTGATGCTGGCTTCAAATTAGGCTCAAATGGTATCAATAGGTCTTTCTCCCCTTCTCACTCCTCTTGCTCTCTTCTGGGTTGGCTTAATTCTCAGGTTGGCTGTTTCCAGGAGACGCCAAAGATGGCCAGCAGTGGCTCTAGGCTCACATTCTATCAGCTTAAGAACCTCAATAGGTCATGCACTCCTCATTGTCCAATAGTTACAATAAAAGCCCTGGGACTGATTCCTATTGGAAGAGATTGGGTCACATGCCCATCACTAAATCAGACAGGTTTGGTTGAGCCTAAGTAGGGCACTCACCTCCATCAGCCCCACTCAAACCATTTGAATTGAAAATAGGAGTGGAGAGAAGCCCCAATGGAAAGTCAAAGTGCAGCTACCCAAAGAAGGGACATGGATGCTAGGCAGGCAAAAATAGCAGGTGGAAGGAGGATAACAGAAGGAGAGAAAGTGAGACAGAGTCTTTTTAAAAGATAAGTAGGAATTATCCAGGAGAGATGAGAGGGTAGGGAAGAAGGGAACATTGAACAATAGAGTTAGAGTGGAAGTCACCTCGATAAAATAATTTTTATTGCTCTCAAACTTGCTGCTCAAAAAGGGGGAGGGAGGGGCAGTGTCCTACATAAAAGAGAAGTTTTATTACTTGAATGTCCTATTATCAGGAAGCATCATGCTGTTACCTGCCGATATACCCCCCCGTCCCAGCACAGTCACTTGCTCCCAGAGTCTGGCCATTAGACAAGCAGACACTGCTGCTGCACTGATCCCAAATCCATTTGGTTATGAAATAACTCTTTATATTATAGAATCACATGAAGAACCAGGAGGACTTTTTTTTTAAAGCACAGAGTCTCAAACTTCCTCTGCCAAAAACTGACTCCTTTAAACTTTAGGTCTAAAGACCACTTCAGAAGGTGTTCCTAAGTTTCTGTCTTTCTCTTACTACACAAGCAATGATTTTTCACTTTTCCACTTCTAAGCTCTCTATTCATTCTCCCTCTTTTAAACCCAAAGAACATCCATACCCTCCATAACAGCATTTCCATATACCCAAGTTTCTGGGTCTAGTTGAAGCAAATTGTTGGTCATTCCAATCCCTAAATTCCTTCTTTAGGATTCCTTGTCTTGGACAACTCCACTTTCAAGAACAGTTTAATACAATTTACATATGCGTCTATTCCCAATGGATTGCCTTCTGTGTGAGGAAACAAGTTGTCTCTGATGCACCCTCTCTAGGCTTCTGTGCTCCATGATGATACGGGCCCACCACACCCATGTCCAGTTCTACTCTCCTCTCGGCAGGTTGAGGACGCCCATTAAATAATATCTTCTGAGCTGGACTATTTAAAAGAGGACTCCCTAAATCTCTCAGTCTTCCTATAGTTCAAGTCCTTGGAAAATATTTTTCACGTTCCATGAAAGTCACATGTGATTAGTGCCAGTTAGGTTTGAACATTAGACTTTTTACTCATTAATCAAAGATCTATATTTGAGTAGTCTTCAGAGGGGATGTTATAATCCTGCAGCTTTAAGTGTCCATATTATCAAGTGATAATGAGAACCCAAAGCCTCAGATTAATATTTAGAGATCATGCTAATATCAACATGAGATATTAAGGTAAAAATAATATAGATGTAAATGTACAACTGTTCCTTCCCCATTGGCAGAGCATGGGCTTGATCCGAATTCATCTACAGCACCTCACCATCCCCCCAGGCACTATCAGCATGCAGACATTTACAAGATGCCCAGCTGAATGCAACCAGTGACTGTGGGGTACAGAAAAGCCAACTGGCCCTGCTTGTAGCAGAGCGGATGGAGAGAAATGGACAAATACAGAATTTTCACCCTGCTTGTAGCAGAGTGGATGGAGAGAAATGGACAAATACAGGATAAATTGTCCTTTTGAGGTCAAGTCTGCAAGGCACTAGGTCTGTCTCACGTTATGCATCTGTTGAAACCAAACTCTCATGAAAGAGTATCTAAGGAAGGAAAAGAAAAATAAACAGCTGCTTACCAAGCACATTTACTGGAAAACAGTATTTCAATATTGATGACGGTTTAGATTAGACTCTAAGGTGATGGTATTCTATTGAATCCCAAAGTGCTTTCTCCCATCCCTAAAATTTTTCATAATGATACTAATTTTTCATGACCTCAAAAGCCAAAACAGCACAAGATGCTTTTGGTATAAATGCTATGAAGTGTCTCCTATTACTTGAAAGACTACAAAGGATTTAGACTTCCACATGTAAAATGACCGGTGGCCTCTTTTCTCGGCTTTCAGGGTATAACTTTCATAAGTCAGTTGGCCCACCAGAGTAATTAAATTAAAGAGAATAGTTCTTAGAGTAAAATATACTGTTTACTGAGGTTTGATGAAGTTTTATCCTGTGCATTTGAATGATGAGGATAAAATACTATATTGCAGGCTTCACATATTCCTTTCTCTCCACCTCCACTCCAGTACTGCTTCTAGCCTTTGGAAGGAGGTGTTGCCAGTACCCTGATGGTATATGTTCTTTCAGCTTCTGATCACACTACCCTTTCCTTACAACTCTGTAACATTCACACATTCACTGTCTATGTCAGGACAAACCTCATGATCCTCTGTTAAGAGAGCTTGCTCAAGGCTGGCTTTCATTAGTATTTCATGCCCCTCTTCTCCATTTTATCTGCATTCTGCCCTTTCGTGTGGAAACCATCTTTCATATGAGCTCTTTCATTCATCTTTTCTTCTAAAGCCCCTAAGCTCTCTCTAACGTATGGCTATGGTTATGGATGAAACAATACTCAAAATGTACATAAGGTGTTGTGAAATAGGTTGATATTTTATTAGTTGTATTCCAGGTGAACACATTTAACCAAATTGCAAATTACATCACTATTGAAGTTAGATAGAAAATTCCACCACATAGGACTTCTGAGGTTTGGTGCAGTAGTTTGCCTTGATGGCTTCATGTATGCAGTCACTATAGTCAGTATTACATTTGCCACACTTACAGCTCACAGCTACAGGGTAGGAGAAATAAGGAGTAACATGGTCTGGGCATCCTGGTATTTCTACAGTCTTGTACATGAAGTCTCTATATGTACAAACATCCTGGGACAGAGCATATTTGGGAAGAAACAGCTTGCCATTGATATCCTGAAGAAAGAACAGAAAAAGGAGCACAATGTGATAGGACTTTAGGAAACGTATAGATAACAGAAACAGATCAAAATTAATTCACTTACACTCCTTTGTCACAAATAGGCCTGGGGAAGGATTCCTTAGTCCCGTTCCCCATTACCAGCTCAGCACATCCACACCGAATCCCATAGAGAAAAAAGTGACACCCTCCTCTCTTTTATCCTTGATCATGGGAACAAGATATGGTTTAAATACATTTTGGAAGTAAAACTGTCATAAAATTATCTGTTACCCATTGTGCTGAGTAGATCCATGTAATATTGTAACCTGTGCACTCTACCTCTAAGGTAGAGTTTCCCAAACTCTATGTTTGGGAAATGAGGTTGTGATTTATCTCATTTCCTTTCTTAATAGAAATGGACTAAGTCTAGGTTTAGCTAATTTACAGCTAAAAGAAGTGAGATGAACTACATACCCGTGTCATACAATATCCAGCACAGATGGTGGTGTTGATGGTGAGGCAATAAGCACACTCTTTCCTTTCGACATGCATCATGTACTCAGTTGGAATACAAAAAGACATTGTCTGCCCACATGCAAGGCCAAAAACCATGGACATCAGGAAGATAGCAGTCATGCTAAATCAAAGATAAAATTAAATTATCTATTACATGTATCCTCTAGGACAGTCAGAAGGGAAATTTGGAAAGAGATAAATCATATACACACACACACACATATATATTTATTGAATGCCTAGTTTGTCCTAGATCCTATATTAGGTGTTTTTATACAGTTAACACTCTCAATAACCTTCCTTTATACACTTAAATGTGGCTATTATCCACATACCCCCTGGTGTAGGAGCTCACTTCGTGAAGGTCCTGCTTGCAAGTGCCACTTAGCTCCTCTGGGCAGTGAAATGGTAAGCCTGAAGCACCACAACAGAAAAGTGACAGAGACATAGGTGTCAACTAAGGGTAAAATAATTCGTTCAATGGAAACAATCCAGTTACCTGCTCCTCTGATTATAAGAAGTGAGTTAACAGTTAGGCTTCAGTAGGGGCTCTCTCAGAACTGTAGTTTCTTGGAAACATTGGTTCAGTAGTTTAAAAGGCCAACAAACTGGTTATAATCAGAAAGGGCAAAGAAATGAGGAAAATGCATAATCAAACTTTAGTACCATCTCAATGCAAATAATCTTGCACATACTTCTACCCATTGCTTGTTAAGGAAGACAAGATGAAGCTAGAGAAAGTCCAGAAAAGATCGACTAAAATTACCACTTGTGCTAAGCAGCTAACCCGGAAATCTAGAAACCCCCTTTCTCAACCCTTAGGATATCCCTTTAAGGTTGAAAGAGGTAGAGTTGGACAAATAAAAAATTACTTTACTCAGAAGATGTATGGAACTCATTGTCTTAAAAAGATTATAGAAGCAAAAAATACAGGTTGACACAATGGGTGTAATACTATCAAGGATGACAGATCCATTGTGGGTTAGCCAGGAAATTGAAATAAGTTTTGGCTGCCTGGAAGACATCAGAGTGTCCACTGTGCCTCAGGCACAAGGAAAACATGTATCTCAATAGAGCCTGTCTGATGGAGAGTTTGTTCAATATCAATTGGACATTGTAATGAGCTGGATAATGTTATGACATCTTTATTTTAGTTCTGCTACTGAGAGAAGGTAATCAAGTTTCAGACTTTTGGATCTAAGTTGATCACTTCAAAGATTAAGATTTTTTCATCTTACAGATATTGTACAGTTAACTAGGTATACTTGGATTTTTTTCCTTCTCAATTATCATCGTCAGAAAAGGAAATATACATCTTAATGGACTAGTGTTATCTTTGAACACAAAATTGTTTGCTTGCCCTATTAAATAAATTATAATTCACTAAACATTTTTACTCAACCATCAAAAATGTATCAAGATTTTCTCAAATCTATCAATTATATCCCATTAACATCTTTAAACTACATACACTAAAACCTCCATCAACCGAAATTTCAGACTCAGCCTCAGTTAACCAGAACTTTGTCTTCAATCAACTTACAAGAAAAAGAAAACCACATCTAACATGATACCAGAGATTTATTTTAAATGTCAGTTTCAAGAGATTAGTAGTAATTCCAACCAGTCTCCTATTCCTAAAATAAGAATGACAGATAAATTAGGTAAACATATACTGAGCATTTGAACCAGGCACCAAGTGGTACAAAATGGATAAGCTGTGGTCCTTGGTCTCGAGGGCTGACAGTCTAATGGAGAAGATAGCATGAACACTAGTAATAAAAATGTATATTGTTCTCAGTGCTCTGAGTCCAAATTATGACTGTGAGACCCACAATTATCAAAGATTTCTTCTGCATAGACAAGGAAGTGAACTAACCCATTAAGAACGGTTTTCTAGTGAACTCTTTTAAATAAAATGTTGCGTATTCAAGCGTTCCTTAGATGTTTTTTGGTAATTCAATAAGGGAGGGAACATATAAGAATTCCTTGCTCATGGAGTCTGGTTTTCCCAAGTGCTTCACAAATGAGAGTTCCCTCTATGGTATAGAGTTGGTTTCATTATTTTCATTACAGATTTATAGGATCCTCTGCAGGATCTTAAAAATAGCAACTGAGTAAATGATATAAAATACTCACCTGTCATGATCACATGGTTCTTGCCTGTCTAGCCAGCCAGCTACTGAGTTTTTGCCATAGGAAATAATTTACTTCACATATTTTAACTTTTAGCTCTACGATTCTACATAAAATAGGTGTGTGGTGACCTAGTGGTGAGAATATTGGTCCTGGAGTTAAGGAACAGAATTCTATTTCAAGATCTCCCATAGATCTATGAGAAATTGTCTGAGATACTTAATCTGTCTGGGCCTGATTTCCCCACCTGCAAAACAGAAAGAGACAAGTACACCTGACCATTTTTTAAATTGTAGGATGAATAACTGTTTTGGAACTTTTACCCATTATTGTCATATTCATTATGGACATTCTATATGTTTTCAAAGTTCCTCTTATAAGTATAAAACTCTAACAAAAGCAAAAATTTAAAGTGCTGAATTATCAGCAACAGTAGTTCTATAACTTTGTGTATATAAAGTAAGGATTATTCTTTCTCCTTTATTGCAAACAGTAAAACGTCACCCACAGAATCTTTCCGGATGTCAATTTTCTCATCTATAAAAGGAAATCTTAGAACCAGAAGAGGATCAGGAAAGTCTTTTCAACACAGATACTCTGTGATTCTATGTGGTAAATTAGTGCCAGATCCCTGATCCAAGAGTTAGTGAGTTAGAATTCTACTTCCAGGTTTCATTGAAGTTGGGTAACTGAGCAATTTAATATCTTTGTGCGTTCATTTTGCCATATGCTCCTTCCTAAAATCATAAAAAGACTAAAATATACACATGAAGTACTTGGAATGCTACAGAAGAAAGAATACGTAACAATGTAACACCACATAAATCACTGCCGGTTAACACCTCCCTATATGATCTGCCCCAACTCCTCCTTTATTGTCACTTGGATTCTCATCTCTGCAACCTAACTGCCTCTTTTAAAATCATCATAAATGATTTGTTGAGCACCTGAACACAGAAGGCATGATTTCAGTCTCCAAATAATGAGAGACGCCTTTTTTAGTGGCATGACCATATATGTTTAGACTTCAAACATTTTTCCTTATTCCAAGGTTTCTTCTTTCCTCTGCCCCTTATCCCACCTTTGTCTCTTCTTTTTGCTCTCACTGCCTTCATTCTTATAAACACATTTCTCTCTTCTCTGCCAATTTCCTTTGCCAATCTTTTCTCTCCAAATCCCTTTCTATACTGTGAGAAGAATCAACTGCCTACCCTATGAACAATCCAGGAACTTCACGAAAGCAATATATTTTTCTAGAGAGCAAAATGTACTATGAGGCAGGTGTGTGCATTGGACACTATCCAATGAGGTTTAGCTGTTCAATAACTAAAATAATACAGAGTAAATTATCCCTGCAGGTACTCAAAACTGAACTTACTCTACGTTTTCCCAGAAGTATATTATCATCAAAGACAGTCATTTGTAGTTGACAGGATTTAATACACAGATTATTCAATTGATAAAAATATTTAAATATAAATGTAAATGGGAAGAGAAGGCCATGAATATCAATCAGCCTTTATTAGGAAATTGACCAGTTGTTCCTCTTCCTTTAAGTCAATGGAATTTTTTCTTATCCTTCCGTTTTGTAGTTCACTCACCTTCACTCACCATTGAACAATTTTGGAGCAATAATTAAAATTTTAAAAATCCATTGAAGTAAATTATCATTCAGCATTTGCCATTTTTTAATAAATGCTAAAGTGGTGAAAATAAAAAAAAATTAGAATAAGAACATTTCATTTCACAAAGCTTTCTCAGTGCAGACACCTACCTTACTTTGCATTGGTGAGCTGATGCTGTAATGACCCAGACTAAACGCTCTTGTTCATTTTATACCCTTCGGGATAATTCCTCTCTGATCTTCTTGTTTATATAATTGCGTTTGAATTACTGCTTTCTTATCTGAAAAACATCTACTGAAAATTCATACTGAACCTCAAATAAAACGTGTTTAGACAAACAATTTCACAACATCTTCCTCTGGAAACTCTGACATTATTTCAGCATGAATTTTCCTCTCTCCTATTTCAAAATAAAATTACCCTTTTAAATATATCCTTTGTCAATATTTATTAAACATAAATATTTAAACATAAATATTGACAAAGGCTATACATAGAAGGAGAAAAACAAAACAAAAAACCCTTAACATCATCTAAGTCAGTCTCGGGAATGAAAATTTATTTGGGGCTTTAGTGCCCCAAATTTTACCTAAATGCTCATTTAGAGATACATAAAATTATTGCTCATTTACAAAGCAGAGGCCACTTCTTTATGGAAATCCAGGGCAACTGGCATATGTGTTGCTAATTAAAACCAAAAAGTTCTTAATTAGTTCAAAATATTTTACTGTTTTTTCTTTGGACTTAAAAAATAATAAATAAAATCTACATGTGTGAAATAATAGTCATTTAGATAAATGGCCAAATCTGACAGGTTGTCAAACGGATCTGAGATCAAATCCTGGCTCTGTCATTTACTAGTTGCATGACATTGGCTTGGTAGAGCTCTCCTCAGCCTCATTACCTATTTAAAGGCAATGTCAGTGTTTATGTAAAGCACTTAACACAGTGTCTAGAAGATAATAAGGGCTTAATAAATGATAGTTAATTTATAATAATTCACCATTTATTTAACAAATATTTAGTCACAATGCCTAGTACGTAGAGTAGGTAGTCATTATATTTGTTGAATGCATAAATGGCTGAGGGAGTGCATGAATAAATAATTATTCAATTTTGGGAACCAACATACACTTTTCTCCATCTCCATAACTATAACTCAGTTTTACCTCTTTCAACCCATTTGCCTCACTGTAACAAAAGTAATATGCTAAAAGTTTAATACGAATTTCCTATTGCCCTCAGAAAAAAGTCCAAACCCTTGGAAACATATATATATATACATAATAGGTAACTGATATATACTTGGACTATTACAGAAGAACTATAAAAAATATCATACATTTGGGAAATGATTTTCTTTTCAAAGAAACTCTCATGCGTATGATCTCATATTGTTAAAATAATCCAGACAGATTGAACTTTCATTTCTGGTGCAGATTTACTCTCCCACCTAAAATTACTATAAACAGAACAAAATATATGAAATAATGGTTCTACAAACATTGGACATTAGGAAAGAAAGGAAAATAATCCCAGAGAGATAGGAAACAAACAAGAAAACTACAACTTACTGGCTGGAGAAAGAACTACCAATGAGTCAAAGGAGAAACAAAAAGTATCTTGAAATAAATGAAAATAGAAACACAGCATACCAAAACTGCTGGCATACAGCAAAAACAGTTCTAAAAGGAAAGTTTAAGTGATAAATGCCTACATTAAGAAAAAAGAAAGAAATCAAACAAACAACCTACAATTATACCTCAAGGAACTAGAAAATGAAGAACAAACTAAGCCCAAAATTAGCAGAAAGAAAAAAATAAAGATTAGAGCATAAATATATGAAATAGAGACTAGATTTTTTTTGGAAAATATAAAGAAAACTGACAAACCCTTAGCTAGACTCACCAAAAAAAAAGAGAGATGACTAAAATAAAATTGGAAATGAAAGAGGAGACATCACTACTGAAAGCAGAAATACAAAGGATCATAAGAGACTACTATGAACAATTAAACACTAACAAATTAGATCACCTAGAAGAAATCAATAAATTCCTAGAAACATACAATCTACCAACATTGAATCATGAAGTAATAGAAAATCTTAAGGGGTCAGTAACAAGTAAGGAAATGGAATCAGTAATCAAAAGTATCCCAACAATAAAAACCCGGGACCAAATGGCTTCATTGGTGAATTCTACAAAATATTTAAAGAAGAATTAATACCAATCCCTCTCAAGCTCTTCCCAAATAATTGGCTTCCAAATTCATTTTACAAGGCCAGCATTACCCTGATACGGAAGCCACACCAACCTAAGCCAAGGACACTACAAGAGAAGAAAATTACAGGAGAATATCATTGATGAACATAGATGCAAAAATCCTCAACAAAATACCAGCAAACCAAATTCAAGAACACATTAAAAGGATCACACACCATGATCAAGTGGGATTTACCCCCAGGATGCAAGGATAGTTCAACATAAGCAAATCAATCAATGTGATATATCATATTAACAAAATAAAGGATAAAAATCAGATGATCATCTCAATAAAAGCAGACAAAATATTCAACAAAATTCAATGTCCTTTCATGATAAAAACTCTCAATAAGTTAGGTACAGGGGAATGTCCCCCAACATAATAAAGTCCATATATGACAAGCCCACAGCTGACATCATACTCAAATGGTGAAAAGTTAAAAGCCTTTCCTCTAAGATCAAGAACAAGACCTGGATGCCCACTATTAACACTTCAACTGAACATAGTACTGGAAGTCCTAGCCAGGGCAATTAGGCAAGAAGAAGAAATAAAATTATCCAAATTGGAAAAGAAGAAATAAAATTATCTCTGTTTGTGGATGATCTTATGATCTTATATATAGAAAACCCTAAAGACTCCACCCAAAAACTGTTAGAACTAATAAATGAACTTAGTAAAGTTGCAGGATAAAAATCAACATAAAAAAGTCAGTTTGTTTCTATACACTAAAAATCAACTATCTAAAAGAGAAATTAAGAAAGCAATACCCATTAAAATAGCATCAAAAGCAATAAAATACTTAGGAATAAATTTAACCAAGGAGGTGAAAGACCTGTACACTGAAAACTATAAGACATTGATGAAATAAATTGAGGAAGTCACAAAATAAATGGAAAGATATCCCATGTCCATGAATTGGAAGAAACAATATTGTTAAAATGTCCACACCACCCAAAGCAATATACAGATTCAATGCAATCTCTATTAAAATTTCAATGGAATTTTTCACAGAAATAGAAATAGTCCTAAAATTTTTATGGAACTACAAAACACCCTGAGTAGCTAAAGCAATCTTGAGAAAGATGAACAAAACTAGATGCATCACACTTCCTGATTTCAAACTATGTTACAAAGATATAGTAATCAAAACAATATGGTACCAGCATATAGAGGCACATAGACCAATGGAACAGAACAGAGAGTCCAGAGATAAACCCATGCATATATGGTCAACTATTCTTTGACAAGGGTGCCAAGGACCCTTCAGAGAAAGGATAGTCTCTTCAATAAATGGTGTTGGGAAAATGGGAGAGCTACATGCAAAGAAATGAAAGTGGACCTCTATTTTATACCACTCACAAAAATTAACTTGGAATGGATTAAAAATTAAATGTAAGACTCAAAATAGGATTTCTAGAAGAAAACATAGAGGAAACCCTGTTGACATGAGTCTTGGCAATAATCTTTTGGATTTGACTCCAAAAGCACAGGCAATAAAAGCTAAAATAGATAAGTGGAACTACATCAAATTTAAAGCTTTTGCAAAGCAAAAACAAAAATAAAAATTAATAAATTGAAAAGGTAACCTACAGAACAGGAGAAAAATATTTGGAAACCCTCTATCTGATAAGGGGTAAATATTCAATATATATTTAAAGAGCTCATACAGCTCAATAGCAAGAAAGCAAGTAATCCAATTTAAAAATGTACAAATGACCTGAAGAGACATTTTTCCAAAGATGACATACAGATGGTCAACAGATATATGAAAAGGTGCTCAGTATCACTAATCGCTAGGGAAAAGCAAATCAAAACCACAATGAGATATCACCTCATACCTGTAAGAAAGACTATACCCAAAAGACAAGAGCAAAAATGTTGGCAAGGAGGGAGAAAAGGGAACCCTCATACACTGTTGGTGGAAATGTAAATTGGTACAGCCTTTATGGAAAATGGTGTGGTAGTTTCTCAAAAAATTAAAATAGAACTGCCATATGATCCAGTAATCCTACTTCCGGGTATATGTCCAAAGGAAATAAAATCAGTATCTCAAAGAGATATCGGTACTCCCATGTTCATGGCAGCATTATTCATGATAGCCAAGATATAGAAACAACCTAAATGTTGATCAACAGATGAATGGATAAAGAAGAGGTGAGATATATATGTATATATATATATATGGGGAATATTATTCAGCCATAAAATAGAAAAAATCCTGCCTTTTGCAATAATGTGGATGAACCTGGAGGGCATTATGCTAAGTGAAATAAGCCAGACAAAGACAAACACTGTATGGTATCACCTATACATAGAATCGAAAAAGAAAAAAAAAAGCTAATTTCACAGAAACAGGGAATCAAATGGCAGTTGCCAGGAGTTGGAGATAGAAGGAAATGAGAATATGCAGGCCAAAGGGTATAAACTTTCAATTATAAGAAGAGTAAGTGCTGAGGATCTCATGTACAATGTGAGGACTATAGTTAACAATACAATATTGTGTACTTGAAAGTTGCTAAGAGTATATGTTAAGCATTCTTGTTACAGGAAAAAAGTTAACTATGTTAGAAGATGGATGTATTAATTATCTTGATTTTGGTAATTACTCTATATGTATATATATATATCAAGTCATCACATTGGACACTTTTAATATATACAATTGTCTTTGTCAGTTATTCCTCAATAAATAAAGTTGGAAAAAAGATATTATAACTAATTTCCATATAGTCAAGCGATTAGAGGAAATATTAAGCATGTAGGGAGTTGGAGATATAAAAGGCCCAAATTGAACTTCTAAAGATGAAAACAGCAATTTTTGTGATGAAAAATACATTAAAATGGGTTGACAACAGATAAGATGTTGCAAAGAAAAAGAGTAGTGAAGTTGACAGCAACACAAAGTATTCTA